TAAAAGTAATTATGGGGATCTGTTCTCTTTTTAGTGAGAAATGGCCAAAATTTTAACCAAGGAAACAAGCGTGGGATGCGATCTTTTTCTCCACTTTCCATGAAGATTCCAGTGCAAAGAAAGATGTTTTGGATGCTTTATAATTAAAGATCTCTTCAACTAAGCGAGATATTCATCAATTATGCACTCAAATCATGAATATTTTAGAACATCTTTTTTTCATGAAATTATGTTCAAAATCTATATTTTAGCGCTTATAGATATGGAGTGAGTTGTATCAGATAATTGTATTTGATTAAAATAATATAAAGCATTGTTTGTATGCAATGAAATGTGAAACCTGGTCCTAACAAACTAAGCCTTTAATGACCAACGATCTCTATTGCGTATTCAAGCTGGATAACCATATCAGATTCTCCACAGTAGAGCTCACAAAAATTATGGAATAATATATATATTATTTATGAGTGCATTAATGAATTCTAGGATATTAACATTAATTGTTTAATATATGAATTTGAACTTCCTCGCGTGAAGTTGAAAGAACCTATTTCCAAAATGAATACGCATTACATAAAATTTGTGAATACATCTCACTCGCTTGGTCTGGAACATAGAAACCTAGATCTTATTCTCAAAATTCTTAAGTGCTTATTAAAAAAATGTGATCAATGTTTATTGTGATTACGAAACCCAGGATTTATCTACATATACACTCAATATATTTTTTGGTTTTCTTGTGACATATGAATAGAACATAGCAACTTAGGCCTTCAAAGGAGGGAAAAAAAACCCAAGTTCTCAATGCATACGAAGCACACGAAAACATTTTGTGAAGCTCTTGCAAGGTGTTTGAAAAGCTTGTTCTAACCTCAAATTATTTTTTATTAATGTTATATAAGCATAGAAATTCTAAACATTCAACTCTAAGTTATTTCGTAAGAGAAAAATAATTCTAATAGTAAATGCTTTAATTTCAAGAAATTGAAACACCATTAGTGCAAATGAAAAAAAAAGAGAAAAATAGTGAATAATAATTCTTTTTGGACAAACTCAGATGACAAATCATATATTCAAGGGATCCAATGTTTGATAGTGGTACTCAAGTAGCACTTGGCTATATGGGTATGTAGTTTAGCTAAAGTTATTTTAATTAGGGGTGATAAAATTTGACTCGACATTCCAACTCAATCTGAACTCAACTCAAAAAATACATATTTGATTTGACTCCAATAATTTTTAGGTTGGGTTCAGGTTAGGAAACCTAATCCATATAATTTTTCATGTTGGGTTTTAGTTGATCTCTCAAAACCAACCTACTAATTTAAAATCAACCGACCAACCTGAAATGAACTCAAATTTGACTCGAAATCGACTCGGATAACTGTTATGCTTTATGTTATACTGGTTATACAGGTTGTGTTCGGGTCGTTGGGTTGAAGCTGGGTCGGGTTTGTGTTGGACTTTTTGACCCATTTAATATTCGAGTCTGGTTCAAGTCAAATGGTTTCGGGTATGATCAATTTCAAGTCCAACCTGAACCCGGCCTGCAAACCCAATTTGACACCCCTAATTTTAATTAGACCTCTAATGCTTGACTCTTTTCTCTATCTCCACATGGACGTCTTCCTTCATCTCTCTGAATAGTGTCTTATTGCATTATCGTGGTCCCTAATATTGAAAACAAAAACAAAATTCACCTTTTTTCATCACTCCGAATATTTTCATTTTTTTTATCAACTAGATGGTGTTGATTTCCCTTATGCTACTGCGTCAGTTTTCTAAGTTTGTGGGAGCTTTGACCTCATCTGTCGAAGCTTCTGTCTCTTCATATTATGATGTCAGGTCGATCACATTGAAAGTGGTGGAGTTATTGTAACTTTTAGATAAGTTGTCATTCTAAAGCACACCTTGATAGAATAAATTTATTTCCTCTTTTGGCACAACTAGAGCCAGAGCTGCATATAGATGTTTATTTTCACAGTAACTCTCAAGTCATTAAATCTATAATTTATTTTTCACTTCTCGTACTTGACTGAGTGTGTCTGATAAATAAATTCGTCTAAATGAACTAACACTACAATGAAATCAATGGCATGTTGGAATACCTTCAGTGGCAACCACCCAATAGGTAAACCGTGGTCATGATGCCTGACAATCCCTTCAACAGGGTTTGTCCCTTTTAATGTATTATTAGCTCATCAAACTCACCATCTTCTAGAACAAATAACGCTAATCCATTGGGAGTCTCTCTCATGAGCTCAGCTTGAATCACTAGTGTTTCTTCCTCTGTTGAAAGTTGAGACTTCTCTCTGGAGTCTTCATCCTCTCCTGGCACTGTTCATTCTTTCAATTGTTCTCCATTCCTCTGCTTGGGCAATTTGATTCAATATGCCTATATCTCTGACACTTGAAACACTTTCTGGTTGGAATGAATTTCGGAATGTTGGTTGGGTGCACTCCAAGGTGGGTTCAGCTTGGATGTTCTGTTGGGTGTACTCTTACTACTTGATCATGTGGTTGAACTCTATCTATAAGATGTGGCGGTCATCGGTGATGTCTCTCCACTTTTGAAACTAGGGTCTAAACATTATGTAATGTCTAATAGGATTGTAAATGTATCACATTGCCAATGGACGATCCCAATCCCCTCATCTATCGAGCTATAGTTTTCTCTTCAAGCTCCACTAGCCCACACTTCAACATAAGCTGCTCGAACACTATTGTGTACTCGTCTAATGAGAGATTTGGTTGCTACAATTCATGAAGTCTAAAGAACATTTATTGTCTGTAATGAACTTATAGATATTAGCGGTGCATATCTTGTTTCATCTTGGATCATGTAGTGATTTTTTCCCTTCCCGATGCACAAAAATCCACCCTTCTTTAATTTAATGTAGCTAGCTTTATCATTCTATCTGATGGGACTTCTTAGTACTCAAAGACTAGTTCCACTACCTGGAACCACTCAATGAATTCTTTTGGATCCCACATTTACTTCAAACTCTTGGCTTCCCTGATATTTCATGTCAAATTTTAGAGATAGTGGTGCTTCATAGTTTGATTTGATGAATTTCCGTTATGGCTATAGGTGACCCTTCTGTATTGTCTCTTCTCGAATGCGGCAAGCCTATTGCAGTTGGTGGATTTTCATAGAAAGTTTCTAAACATCTCTTTGCAGATGTCTCATAAGCAACATTGTGTCATTTCCTCCCGATTAGGTTTCCGACAATTGTCTACTTGTTGGCGTGATTAGAGTTTAGGTTTGTAGGGTGAAAGGAAGTGTATGGGGTGATCTAGAGTAGGAAAAAAAAAGGGTTTTCAGGGGTTGGTGTGCAAAATCAGCAAGGGGAAGGGTTTTGGGTGGAGAATGAGTTAGGTATTGATGGATTTAGGTAACCCGTGAATCGGATAGCTCTGATACCAAATGATACCGGAGTTGACCAACAACAAGGGGAAAAACAAATATTATTACTAAAATTAAATAGAAAAGCAACAAACATGACACTATCTCCAACTAGGGTTGAATCAAAGGGTGGTGGTGGTGGTGACCGGTGAGCGTCTAGAAGTTGGCTGAGTGGTGGAAAAGGACGATTGACAAGCAGAAACAACAAGAAGACTGTTTTCCAGTTTCCCAGATAGCAAGCAAGCAGCGGAGCTCGATGTGGAAGGGCTTTCCTGGATGATGGCAGCAAGGAGGAAGTGGCAACGGCATGGGGGAGGTGGCTAGCAGCATGGATGGAGGTGGAGGCTGCTGTCCAGAGTGATGGCAGAAAGCCTGGGTGGCTGGAGCAGCGGGGAAACTGCAGAAAGATGGTTCTGCGTGGCGGCACCGAGGGATAGCTGGAATAGTTAGAAATCAACCGGGGAATGCAATCTGGAAGGTGACAGAAAGGTGTATGGGGGAGGAGTGCGGTTCCTGGAAGGCGGAAGCAAGGTGAAAGGGGCGGGATGCTTTTTCTGAAGGGCAGCAGCACGGTAGAGGGGAGAAGAGCTGGTCCTGGGCGGCTGCAGCAAATTGGGACTGCAGAAAACAGCTGGGAGGCAGCTGTTCTGGGCGGCTGCAGCAAGGGTGGATGACGGAGAGTGATGTGGGAAGGAAGCGGAGGAGTAAGAGAAGGATGCGGAGTAGGGGAAGGATAATCACCACATCTAGAGTGAGATATAGCCAGAGCACTACTCAGACCCTTAGATACCTGCCCTAGAAGGGAGAAACGGAGATGCCTGCAGTTGTTCTGAACAAATTGAAGCCAAAAATTTTAAATACAAAACCTAATATAACACATATTGGAAATGCCTAGAAAATAATGTAGGATAAGAGGAAATGTGCTGAAAATAAATAGAAAATAGATAAATAAAGCAAAGGTGTCTAGTTCCGTTCTTCTCCGATTGCAGGAATTAGCTGCCAACTTGAAAGGTTTTCTCTCCTTTAGCTTGGTGTCTCTGTCTCCTCAATGCAATCCTAATTTCCTGGATGGTATTTGTAGAGGTAGAGGAGGGCTACTCTTCTTTAATTTGTTCTTATAGGTTGTGTTTCAATCTTAAAAATATTTAGTTATTAGATAAATTAATAAGTAATTTCATTTTGATTAGATAATTGAAGAGGGGAGAGAGATGGAGGGAGTAAAGCATGTTTCCTCTTTTATTATTTATGATTTCTTTTTAAAATTATATAGCTTTAAAATAAATTAGGCAAATTAGGCAAAGAAACTTTCTTATAAGTTTAATTAAGTGATTAATTTAGGCCTTTTAGGAAGCCTTATAATTGGACAATTTGTCCCTTACACAACCTAAGAAATACTTAATTGGTCTAGTATTTGATTAACTGGGCATCAAGTCATCATTTTAATGCCAAAAATACAGTTCTTTAATATCAGCTGTGAGTCAAATACTTGCTTTGAATTTAAAAAAAAACTGATCTTCAAACTGAAGTGAGTGAACATGTTGTGTTGCGACCACACACCTTAAAATTTCCTGGCATTTTTGTCTTCCTTTTTCAGCTTCAAGTGTTAGATGAGGCTTTATCATTGCTCATGAGCATGGGTTACAAACAAAGAGAAGCGAAGAGGGCTTTAAGAATGAGTGGTCAAGATATCCAGCGTGCTGTGGATTTTCTAGTTGAGGAGCGTGCAAAAAAAGCCTGCAGACATCAGGAAGACATTCAGCGAAAAAATGAGATAATGTGATCCTTCTTACCTATTTTTGCATTTTTCCACCCTTTTTTTATCATTAAATAGATTTCTGTTTGTTTGAGTCTATATGACAGAGAACAGAAGAGGTATGGCATGACAGCCAATAACAAGCCTGTCAGCATACAAAGATTGAATGAATTGGCCTCCATGGGGTGAGAAACTGTGTTCAACTGATGACAAACTATTCAGAATTCAAACTCATACAATTTATATCTAAATTATTTATCAGGTTTCTCATTTCTGCTTTGTTTATGGAAAATACTATGTATTTTTTCCTGACCATTGTTCTAATATTTCTTTCGTTACTCAATTTGTTCTGCATTAAGCTTGAAGTTGTTCAACTTTCTCATCTAGCATTTAGTTCTTGTACATATATGATGATGTATGCAGTTATCTGCGTTATTACATTACAGCCTCTAAAAATCATTTTCATTGTACCGATCCAATGAATGATGCAAGAATCCTTTAATGCTTCAAATAAATGAAAATGGTGTATTTTCTTGTGCTTAAGCTATATTTATTCCTATATATAAACTCCAATGAAGACCAACGGACCATCAAAGATTCAGCCTTTGGAATGTGCTAGCCTAACTGACCCAAAACTGTTTGTGGAGTTAATTTTTCTCATTGTAGTACATCTATACAATCTGCATAAAGTGTCCTTGTTTTGTTTATGATGAGCCACTAGTTATCGAGACAATACGTAAAAATTTAAAGGAGTCCATTTACTGGACACATTGTCATTTGATATATATATATATATA